TTATGAAATCCAACCAATTCCACCACTGATGAACGTATTTGGTGAAACCTTCTTCCCATAGTTGTTTGATTTCCGACCATAACATACCTGAAGATAGATTATTTTATTTTCATTATTTTTTTTCTTTTTTTGGTTGCTTTATTTTCTATGTTTTTGTTACCACCCACGTATAAGTAAGGTCAAAACTATTAACTATATGAAGCCATGCATCCACTATCTGAACTGGACAAATAGTATGCAATGGATGTAAAACTGTACTGGATGAAAAGGTTCGTTCATAAGTGATTCTTGAAACAGGAATTTTTTAGCTCAATCAATTCCTGAGAATACTAGTAAGGTAAAGGAGAAAATGATGATCGAATCACACGAGTCAATTTCCTGAAGCTATCTCACCTAGAACCCATGCTACCACCAACGATTCAATGAATGTTGGCGGCGGACCGCGATCTGAAGCTCTTGTTGTTCCACCGCCCTGAAAACAATAAATTCAATTACAGAGAGGAAAATTCTGTTAGCTGAAACGATTCTATAGACCCGGACAGATTATCTTACACCCACTATGAGCAATGGGGATCGGAGTTCCATGTGAAGGCCCATTCTGATCAATATCAATACCCTTTAGATCAATGTCAGACTGCGAATCGAGCGATTCGCTAGCCTCCGCGGTCGCGTCGCATATAGCCAATCGAGTCATTTGTACGCGACGCGACCGTGGACGGTAGGGGATCGCTCGATTCGCAAAGTCTGATATCGGCCCCATTATGAGAACTGCATCAACCTTTGATTTACAATTCAATATCGCTTTGGCCTTCAGCAAGGGGCTTGACAGGGTGGGCCTGGCGTCACCCGCCTAGTGCGCATTAAGGTTACAGAATTATCACCTTGACCATGATGATTCTAGGCTTGAAATCCTTGAAGCGACTTAAAGGCAAAGTTCGGGCTCAGACCCACTTAATGAGCCTTTACGGTGGCTAGAAGCGCTAGGTACGCAAGTGTAGAGGTCGCGTCACTTCCCTACTTCGAAAAGCGTTACTTAGACGCTAGGCGCTAAGAACTTTGACACGCTCCACCTGTTGCGACACGCTCCGCCCACCGCTCGATATCTTGTCTGCGTCGCTAACTTGATCTGCTATGCTCTCTCTACTCGACTTCTCTAGCGCTCTCCGCGCTCACATTATCTCTCATCTCCCTGCCGGCCTTTTGAACTTCTCCGCAGCGTAGAGCAAAAGGCTCGTATTTCCTGTGCATTTCACGATTTTTTTCCTTTTTTCTCCACTGGCGGTCCACTTCCTACCCCTTCACATTTGAGTGGAATTACCTCATAATTTAATCCTGAATCTTGCCTTTAAGTTCCAATTTAAACCTTTGAAAAGTATAACAGAACTCGATCACAGTTCAGGAGTTGTATCGCAGTCGGCGAAGTTCTTCCACACTGACCCAACCCTGACACCTGCATATGAAGCAGGGCTGCCGTTCAGTATGTCAGTAGGTCTACCGCACGGCAGGTGGCGTCGTGTCGTGAATGTAACGTATCGTAATCCACATCCATCCAAGTTGGTATACTGGCTAGGAAACAATCACCTACAAAGGGTGCCCTTCGGGACTCCATTCTCTTCCATCCTCTTATTTTCATTTCCTTCAAAATAAGTCATATTTTTTGGGTATGGTCTCGACAGCAGAACAAAGGGAACACAGTTGTTCAAATGTAATTTTGAATTCGTGTGGTGAAGTGTTTAGTGGTATGGGGTGCGAGCTCACACAACCTGATTGATTCGTTGCCATTCGTTTACTACCGTAAGCCAAATGATTGGCCAAAGTTTCATGTCTCCGCGCATTTATTTCGCTGGGCCCCTGAGGACGTCCCCGTTCAAGCTGTCGTAAGAGATGTTGGCTGGTTTCTTTCATACTGTACTCAAAAACAAATCATAGAACTGGTGTTGACTCGTCCTGATGTGAGGAACGCTGCACTCGGTTAGAACCCGAAATTAGTGAAAAAATGTCTAATAAAAATTTCCAACCTTCCGCTCTCCCTTTTCACTTCGATAGCTTTCAAATGTGGCCAGTGTGAGCAGAAGTAAAAAACAACTGAACGATATCGAAGTAGTAGAGAAATTTCATAAACGGCGACCGGACAATCCGTCCAATACGGCTTTTGGGCATCTAAAATATTCCATAATAGGTAAAAAACCAATAAAACCACTGAAGAAAAAAATTAAGAAGACCTTAATTAAGTTAAGTGAAAACTAAGGGCAGGTCTATACACGCACTAACTTGATTGGTTTTGGAAACGTAGTCACCTTATGAACAAAACGTGAAACATAATTTTTTCTGGATTTCATCCCAGCTTGAATTTGTGGATTTGTTCGTGATGTTTCACAAACTTAATATTATTCTTGAGAATATTATTCTTGAAATATAATATATTTCTGAAGCATTGTAATATCATTATTTATTATTTATTTTTATTATTTTATTTGTTTATTTGATTTATTTTATGGTTTATCATTTACTTTGATGAGGTTGTAATTGCCATGATGTGATAGCAATAGGCAATGGGATAGTAAAAACAACATGTTATAGTTAAGTAGGGTTCCATTGGTGGGCGGGGTAGACACCAAAGTCCACCAAACACTATAACTCGGTCCAAGAGATCGTGGAGACCGGGGAAAAGTGAATAGAGATCAGCGAAGAATATGAAATCAACTGCTGTTGGTAGGTGATGTGTGCAGCAAAGTGGGCGGAGTTTGTTAGCAGGCTTATATCTCGGTTCCAAGGAGCTTCAGAGATAGGGAAAAAATGGAGAGAGGCAGACGAAGAGAAGGAAGTGAACTCCCAATAGTGGGCGGAGAATGCCCTAAAGTGGTTTGCCGCCGAGAATATAAAATGGCTCAGAGACAGTTCAAAGACCGGGAAAAGGTGGAAGAGGATTGGCGAGGAAGAAAAAGGTGGGTGGACATGCACCGAAATAGGCGGAGTTTACCACGAGATTTATAAATCGGATAGAGGCAGTCCGAGACCGGGAAAAACGGACAATGGTTGACGAAGAAGAGGTCAAAGCCATCGGTGGATGGAGCGGATAGAATTCTAGCTTAGAAGTCAAATATTCGTAGTGTATCGGGCCAAATTTGAGAATTTACGCCGCACCATCCCATATCGCCGCAGAACTGTGTTGTGCGCGCAACGCGTGCGGCGCCAACTGGTAGTAAAATAAGGTGTTTCCTATATTTCTCCAAAAAAATTTGTGAGGACTTTCAATGGAAGCCGAGGTGTTGCCTAATCCCCGCGACATATGGAGTTATTTTTCGAGCTTTTTTCTTTTTCAACAAGCGCAAGAGAATCCGCTCTGTGTAAGGTGATGGGGTGAGAAGCGTCACTTTTATTTTGCCTAGTCCAACAGATCGAATCCTGCCTATGACTATATGTGTACAGTAACTTTCATCCTTGCATGGCTGATTAGACAGCGTGAAATTAATTGCTTGCATATATATTAGGCGCTCCTTTATAAGTTTCTGCAGACAAAGATGCTGCGAACAATCCGATGTGGTTTCGGTTCCGATAAGAGGTGTGGTGCATGGCACATTCCGGAGTTTCTTCAACTCCGAGCACTCACTTTCCATAATTGAAGCCTCATTGCGCAGTTATTCGCTACTATCTAATCATAAATCGTATATATTCGTAGATAAAAAGTGAATATTAATCTTAATCTTGATCTTATAACACATTATTAAGTATAAAAAACTGTGTGGACTCACCACAATATAACAGATTGCTAGAACAGGCCAAAGAATGATCAGAGCTATGCAGACGATGATATTCCACGCAGAACCACGTTGCTGTCGTCCTGGGAATCCCTCATACCAGATCGAAGTGAGCAGTTGTTGGCAATGTGGATGGGAGACGAACTAAAAGGAACATAAAATTTGCTTGAACCTTGAAAAAGGTTCATCCTTCAAAAAGGACGCGTTAGGCGTAGCAGCATAGAGAATTTGGGCTCCGACCAACGCTGTGAGCATACACTTTTAAGTTCTCATTTAGGGAGAGAAAGAAGCCTACTTTCACACGAAGGGGAGAGTAAGAT